CATGCTAAATGTCACTATAGACTAGGAATACGCATATAGATTATGGTTGTGGACTTGGGGGGGGGGGGGGGGGGTGGGGAATAAACAGGCTCTCGGAAGAAAAAACTCACCTCATCTCTGCTAATCAACTCGTTTGAGAAGGTGAGGCCTGGCATCAGGCCTCTCTTCTTCAGCCAGAATATGGAAGCAAATGACCCAGAGAAAAAGATACCTTCTACTGCAGCAAAGGCCACAACACGCTCCCCTGTACAGGGAAAAAAACAATTAGATTGGACAGGTGTGAAAAGTGACAGTTTAAGGCAGATCATTGTGCTAGAACAGGCACGTCTCCCAATAAACCTTGCATACCATATACAGCATCTTTGTTTCCAATCCAGTTCAGAGCCCAATCAGCCTTCTTTTTCACACAGGGCAGAGTCTCAATGGCGTTGAAAAGAAACTCCCTGCAAAAAGAACAAAACCTTCAATACAAGACCAGTTGGCAAAAGCACATTTTGACCTACATCTTCTAGGTCAACATGGGGAGCAACTGAAAGCAAGAAGTGCTTGGAGTGTCACCGATAACAGTGCACAACTTTGGTCATTAAGTGGAGTATAAAACAAGCTACCCTGGGATCAATTAACTACTAACTGGGGCTTGTGTGGCCTGTTTAATGGGTCAGCGTCAGCAGGAACTGCAGCCCAACAACTCTGGCTTGGGTGTACAACTGCAGGTTGTACCAGAGGAGAGGCAAGAGCTGTACTGACCTCTCTTTGGGGTCTTTAATATACGTGTCGATGAGCAGGCTGTACATTTCAGAGTGGATGTTCTCCATGGCGATTTGGAAGCCATAGAAACAACGGGCTTCAGTCACTTGAACCTCCTGGCTAAAGCATTCCACCTGGAGGGGGGAGAAACAGAATTGAATGAAACAGGAGGATCTGGTCTGGGGTCTGCACGCACTTACAGACGTTTCCTGCCGATATGAAAAATGTCAACTGTGAAACAAAACATCTAGAGCAGGGTGCGGTTGCGGATCCTACCAGATTCTCGTTAACGATGCCGTCACTAGCGGCGAAGAAAGCCAGGACGTGGGAGATGAAGTACCGCTCCTCGTCCTTCAGGGACTCCCAGTGCTTGAGGTCTTTGGAGAGGTCCACCTGGCAAAAGTACAGGCAATTAGACACCTCTCGACGGCCTTCGAACGACACAGCTGCAGAAGACTGATCACATTCCTACACCACTTGCCAGGAAAGGGGTCCGTATACTCGTGGTGCACTAAGCAGTTCCACACAGGACTAAGTTGGTGGATACCATCAGAGATGGAGAACTGCACCACTGCTGCCTGCAACTGTAGGTCACACCCTCTTTGCGGAATGCAAGTTTCCCCCCCACTCAAGCACAAGTTTAAGAATTGTTTATTAAGCTCAAAGCTAAGCAAAATTGTTTAAACAGGTGGTCTCAGATAAACGGATTAGGATTTCTTTCAGGTACCAGTGAATACGCAACACTGTTTAAAATATTCCCCATAGTACCTAAAGCAGGGGGTTTGAAATGGCTGTCCCTGGATTTCTATGTAGTTTTCATCCTTGCCCTGAGCAACTTGGACTAATCAGTTGCTTAATTAGGAACCTGACAGGTCTTCATCAATAAGGCCCCCCATAAAACCCACAGGACTATAACCAACATCGCAGAGCGATTCGGAATTAAGGCTGACACCCAGGACACAGTGAGCATTAAACGCCAACCTCCTCCGCGGTCCAGAAGGAGGCCTCGGCCTTCTTGTACATCTGCCAGATGTCGTGGTACTCGATGGGGAAGATGACAAACCGCCGAGGGTTCTCTCTCAGGAGGGGCTCGTCTTCCACGGTCCTCTTCTCCGCTTTGGGCTTCAGCGAGAGGAAACGAAATGAAGCGACTTAAACGGGGGACGGGCGCACGTCACCCCGCGGTTGTACACCCGGGGGGGAGGGGGCTGAGCTAGCCGAGAGCCGGCCAGGACTCCAAGCCCGGAGCTCCCGGGACACACGGAGGACCTCACTAAAGAGGACATACCGCGGGAAGCCGACGTTTAGGCCGAGACGCCGGAGTGAA